AAAAAAAAAAAAATCTGCAGCAAAAGAAGTTTAAAAAAAAATATATATATATATATATATATATAAATATATGGAAGAACATATTAACTCCTTTTTTTTTACACCAACACATTAAATACTTTAAATATATGATAACTCAATAATAAAAATAAGATTAATGTCAAATACATAATAAATAGAGCATGTTCAAATATATCTTGTAAAGAGAAAAAAAAAATCCTTATATTGTTTCTCTAATCCAGTCTCTTTCCAAACATCAATCCAATTGCAAGGTTTGAACTTAATTATGTAGTTCCAGAGCAAATGTAAATGTACTCTTTCTTTGCATATATGATAGATGATAGATCCAATCGGAAGCACATGTTCAGGTCATTAAATATTTCATGTGGTATTACACAATTTAATGTAATCTGTTTGTTTACACATCAACTTTCAGATAGTACAAGATCTTTACACACCTCAAAAACCAACCTTCCTTTTCATTTGCTTGTTGTCAGCCAAGAAGAAGAATAATGGTAAGGACTCGGTAGTAAAATAATAATAATAATAATCGAATGCAACCATTCGCATGCCAAAAGAAAAATTCTTCCAATATCCCAAAGAAATCCGAAGAACAGATCAACCGAACTTCTCCAATTGCAATGTCATTGGTCTCAAATCTGCCTCCATGTTGGTCTTAATCTCAAATGCGTAAGATAAACACACATCACCAAACTTGATCACATTCAATGAGTCAAACTGCAATCCAGATTCTAGCCATGGACAAAAATTCAACACACATTTTCTTATTGCCTACTTGACGGGCCAGCTTCATAATCTTTAAAAGATGAGGTACCAAATGGTCTCCAAATTTTAGCCGTGCTATTTCCGTGGCGTTTCTTTTGGGAATTTCTCATTTCTTCTTCAGAATCATACTGTGATCGCTGCGAGGAATCATGAAGATATAAATACTCTCAGAATATTTGTTACAGGAGGATGAAAACACACAGAATATCTTGAAGTCATGATACACTTGCAACAATTTATACAACATTATTTTTTGTGTCTATATCTCTCCATCATTAATAAATATAGATTATGTTTGGATTCACATCAATTTTAATTAGACGTGGATAAGTAGAAACAACGATTTATTGTTTTTGCATCAATTTTGATGTGATTAAGTAAATCATGGATGTGGAACCAAAATGCATGTAGTAAATGACTTGATGGAGAGAGATAGATAAAAAAAATTATGTTGTACAAGTATCATTTTCCAATACCTTGGCAGGGTCTGATAGGACTGCATATGCTTCTCCAATTATTTTGAAAAGCCTATCAGCATCTTTGCATACTTCTTCAACAATATCCTTCCATATCGGATCATCGCCACTGTCACTTCTTGCCAAAGATTGGGCAGCCTAAATAACATAAAAGTAGTTAAATGATTATTAATATATGAAGATTTAACAAAGAGGCCAATCAAACAACCTTGTCAGGGTGATGTCTTAGTGCGGCTTTGTGATAGGCCTTCTTGATTTCGGATGACGAAACAAAATGTTCAACTCCTCTGCCATTATAATCTGAATCAGCAGACGCCTCAAATGATTGATAATATTGTGGCATGAGTTAGCAACAGACAGGGTTCTCTAATAACAGCATGCTACTTTTGTCACACATGAAACACAGCTTGCACAAAGAGTGATGACAAATCCTAACATGAATTTTGTTTAGTCTGTTAACAAGAAAATTTTCAACATATTCCCTATACGCACAAAAGTTCTTGCACTTCCTTTCTGACCAATGGATGATTTTGAATCAATGGAGGATGGGGTTTATACTGGTTGAGATGTTAAGTAATGCTAAAGGAGTGCTAATTATTAGTAGAAGAGCTTACAAAATGAGGTACATATCAAGAGGGATCCCCTTTCTGTCTTCCTCCTCTAATTCCGAAAGCCAAATTTGGCTATGTTTCAAATCATTGGGATAATTGGTTGATCTATCAGATGTGCAATGGTGATTACTATTATCCTCATCCCCCTTAATGAGAAGAGAGACAACCCTCCTTATATCGCTGGCTGCTTGGTCATAATCTCTGATCATCTCATATAGAGTTGCACGCCTAGAAAGTGCCTGCAAGAGTATAAAATACATTATCCTCATATGATCATTTTAACAAACAAATTATTTAGTATCCTGTAAAAGATATACATTTGAAAAATGCTAAAAATGAAATAGTGCATAAAATGAGAAAGCAATATCATAAAAAATGACGAGAGAAACCTTCAAGTATCTTCCATCAAGAGCTATAGCCAAATTGCAATCTGCTATGGCATCAGTAATTTGACCTAATGCTTTATATGCAGCAGCACGATTACCAAAACAGACAGCTGAAAATGGGCGAGACTCCACATTACATGATAAAGCAGCTGTATAATGTTCAACAGCTTCCTCATGCCTTCCTGCCTGAAACGCTTCATTCCCTAAAGTCTACAGTTGAATACATTTTCATTAGTCCTAATACAAGAATTTTCATGTTACAGTAAAAGGACAGAGCGGATCACTACTGAAGAAAAGAGATTGGAAGACAATGTAGCTTATAAATGTTTTCTTGTGCCCTTTGACAAAAGAAAAAGTTGTGTACTTGTGTTACAGAAGAGAAGCAAAAAGTTCTATTATTAGTATCCTGACAGTTTCATAAAAAGATTGATGGTATGGTATACATAAAATCATCAGAAAGATATCATGGAACATGGTATAAGCTAACCTTATGATGCAAGTGCCCACGTACAGTGACAGCTAGTGGTATTAGTGACTCCAAAACCTTGCTTCCACTCCTGCAGTGCAGGGACATTATCAAAGCTGATGTCTATTTTATGAAAAGGGATCACCATGAAACATGTCCATCTTTTTATTATTTTTTCATTGTTCTTTTGAGGAGAGGACATAGGAGGATGAATATATCAGATGTTAATAATACTTACTTGTTTATGGCAGATACCTTTTCCTCTTGTTCCTCCAGCAAAGAAAGACCCTCTTCAAGCTTTCCTAGGTGAAAGTAGGATTTAAGCATCATTGAGCACCGCCAAAGCCTGAAATAGAAGCTTTTTGAAACCTGTGAATTATCCAGATCTTTCACGTTCCAATCAGCATCTAATGGATTAGAATTCTTCTCAGCAGAACCAAGGGTTTCAGCACACAGCTGAATTACTTCCTCATATCTACATAGCTGATATTTAAAGCAAAAGTTATCCAACACAGAGTCAACTTGAATAAAATACTTCACAAACTGCCTAATGCTGATTTTGACTGATTTTGACAAAGTTATAGTAAAATACCAGCATATACTATAAGACAAATACAGACCATATAAAGAGCCTCCGCCTTCATTTCAAGCAATTTTTCAGAGTATGAACTTATCATCAATGCCTCATTTATATGTTCCAATGCTCTCTCTGCATCAGCTGCTGTTCTTCTTTGCAAAAGTTCGTCAGAATGATTGATTAATTCCGATACTTTCTGCCATCCGTCAATGACACTTATCAGTTAAAGAGGAGAGAGGTGAAAAAGAAAAGCTAATGATCAAAGCCCCCAGAGTCAAAATAAATATAAACAGTCAAACCTGTGTCTTTTTCAAGAGATCAGAGGCTTCCACAACAATTTTTGGATCTACACAAATATCAGTTCCTGACTGCATGCATGTCTTGGAATACTTGGACGCGTCTCCAACTTCCCCCAAAGCAAGGAAACAACTTAAAAATAATGAAAAGAAAAGAACTGAGAGATACATCATCTAATTTACTAAATATTGAGCATTTTAGTTCACAAATAAATTGTGTTGAAACACACCAACGTAGTTTAGCCTTGGACAAATCAGCATAAAACAAAACACTTGCAAAATCAGCGATCCATTAAAAACTAAATAGAACATTTAATCCATGTCTTCAAGAAATTTTATGAAACTTTCCACTACAGCTAGATCATCTCCAACATTAAGGTTATAAAAACTAAAGCACATATGATCTACAATGGATTGGTTGGGATGCAAGGACTACGTGCAACAAAACACTGAATTTATTATGTTATATCCTTATTCTGCGTATTCTTTTGTCAAAGAACAAAATTAAGTCCATACAACTTAAATCACAATCGACAAAGATTAAAAGCAAAAAAATGGGACCTTACTTTGCAGCTCTAAGTCGCACCCTGAGGAAATTTGGATCAATTTCTGCAGCCAGCATACAATCTTCCACTGCATCTCTCATCCTACCAAGTGACATGCGTGTGGCAGCACGGTTGCTATAACACAGCATCAAAGTCCTACGACATCTCGGAGGTGCTTCTTCTTTAGAAACACAACTAACTCCTCGTGTGTAACAATCCTCAGCCACAGACAAATTCCCATTTTTATAGGCTTGGTTTCCTCTGTCATAAAACATATTCAGTACCGTGACTATTTTATCAAAATAAATGTAACTACATGAACTTTACTTTGTATCATGCAAGTCCCTTTTTCATGAGTGTTCACATTCACAATAAATACATAATGTGGTTTCTATTTTATAACAGATTGGAAGTCATTGTGATAGGCCAGGACATGAAATACAGTACAAGTACTACAAAAGTAAGTACATCATAACATAACCAAGTGATTGAAAATGTAGCAAGCAAACCAAAAATATATATATATACTAACTTGAGACGCCACTTTTCACAGGATTCCTCAGCCGCAATGGTTATAGCAGAAATGGAAGCAAGTTCCTTCTTTATCCCTTGCTCCTTATTCACTTCAGAACCCCTAGTCTTGGGAAGAGGAGCAGATACTGTGGCTTTCTGACCTTGGCCTGATGTGAAAAGAGAGGAAGTTCCAGATAATGGAGGACAAGTCACAGGTGATAATGAATTAGGACTGGAGTTGTAAGTATCATGACCATGATCAACTTTCACCCAATTTATCTTTTTAGGGTGGCGTTTGGGGCTAGATGATTGCACTTTAGCAGAAAATGTGAAGCCAAATCCACTCATATTTCTTGAACCTGAATCACCACAAACAAGATGGGACATGCTATCACCATTATTTGTTATGTCTAATTCATCATTGGCAGACTTGAAGCCTGCAGTTTCAGTTTCATCATTTGGACCATCATCATCATGATCACCACCATCACAATTAGTATTTTTACACTCTGAAGCTTCCTTTTTTGTCTCTCTGCCTACAACTTCACATTCATTCTTATTCAAGCCCTTATCAGTGGGTATGATGTTGCCAATGCCATCCACACTTAAACCAAATGACTCATTGGACGTCACATAATTTTTTTGCGACACGTCCATCTTTGCCTTCCAAATGAAATCATGTGGCTGGATGGGGGCAGAAAGCTTGAGTTTTGCTCTACTTTTGTTCATCCTAGTGTTGCCACCTTGTTCCTTCTTTGCACTGAATTTTAATTTATCATGAGCATCACCAAAGATATTAGTTTTGAGGGGTGGTGCCTTAAGCTCAAGGAATGATGGACCTGAATTGTGTTGTTTTGATGTGAAAACAAATCCATCATCTCTCTCGGGAACTCCACCATCTCTTTTTTCTTTACTTTCTTCAATTTTCAAGTTGATCATATCTTCCAATGCCAGATTGAGGCCTTTTTCCATTTCATCAACATTCAAAAAAGAGTTTTTTCATCCAAAAACCGTTTTTTTCTTTTTTTTGGCGATCACAATACAAATGGAGTTTAGCTTCCAAAATTTAAACGAATTTGAAACCTGGCGAATCGAAGGAGAGAGGATGGGGGCACACGGTGGCGGGGCAGTCGGAGCTCCGGCGAGGTGTGGAAAGGGAAGCGATGAAGTGATTAACGGTGGTCATTAGCCTTAATCAACAGTTTTGGTGACAATCATTCTCTGAAATATGTTATTACCATTTTGATAACCACCGTAACCGTAACGTCGAAGATGAAATGAGGAAAATGTAGAAGAAAATATGAATATCATTTTTAATGTCTGATTTATTAATCATGTTTGTCATATTACATGTTAGTATGTAAGAAAAAACATTATGTGAAAATTAAAAAATCAATATTAATTATGACATGTCACGAGAATTTTTTAAGATTTTTTTACGAAATTTTATCTAATTTATTTTTATTTATTATAATTATTTATAAATTAAATATTTGTATTTCAACATAAATTATCAATAAATAAAGTGATTTTATGTTAAAATATAAATTATTTATTATAAATATAAAATATAGTTTACATACTTAAAAATATATATTTATACAAATTTTACATATAAATTTATATATTTATATATATAATTTATTATAAATTTTAATTATATAATAAACATGATTACACGTTCAAATATTAGTATATTTAATGATAAAGAATAAAAATATTTTTCATTATACAATTTTAAAGATTTTCTCATCAATTAAATTATTTTTGGTAATAACTAATTATAACATTGTTTTTATAAAAATGATAATAATAAACATATTATTTTAAAAAATGAATAATAGTTAAATATGTTTTGTAAAACTTTT